CAAGATACTAAGTATGCTTCACCCTCTCGTTTGGATGTCAAGACTTTTTGTGGTAATGGTTATGTGTGCTTTGAGGGTGTGGATGCCATTGGATTTTCTCGGGGTCTATGTGTTCTTTGGGACCTAACAACTTTACTGTGCTTGGATGTTTTTAAATCTGATAGGTTCTTGGCAATTACTTTTGAATGTCCTGTCAAGGGTTTTCGTTGGGTACTTATTAATGTGCATGGGCCTAATATTGCTACCCTTAAAGGTATCTTTTTTTATGATTTGAAATCTTTTATTTCCTCTTTGGGACTTCCTGATTGCATTGGAGGGGATTTTAATCTTATTCGCCACCCAGATGAAATTTTCACTTATTCTTAGTTTAATTTTCATATGCATCTATTTAATGACTTCATTATGAAGAATGATTTATTAGATCTTCCTACTACTGGAGCTCACGTTACTTGGTCCAATAATATTCCTCCGATCTGTTTATGTCCAAGATTGTTCTCAAAGGCTTGAGAAAGAGTATTCCCTTTAGTCAAGGTTAATGCTCTTACCAAACTTTCATCTGATCACCTCCCTATCTGTCTTCAATTGCAGAATCTGAGCACATTCCTCTTATGTTGCCTGTTAGCTTTGGGTTTTAAAATAAATTTCCATAAGACTGTAGTTGTAGGTATCTCTTGCTTTAATAACCTTTTGGATTCTCTTGCTTCAATTTTGGGTTGCAAAGTTGAGAAGTTTCCGCTTAAATATTTAGGGGTTTATATCTCTGATAGTAAGCTCAACTGTGCAACCTGGGACCCTCTTATTCACAGGTATCAAGTTAAATTTGACCTATGGAAGACCAAGACTTTATCTTTTGGTGGGCGTATCACTTTGGTTAAATCCACATATGCACATCTTCCTATTTATTTGATGTCAGTTTTACGAATACCTAGTGAAGTAATCAAGTTTATTGAAAAATATATGCAAAACTTCATTTGGGATAACATGGAGGATAACCACAGAAAGTTTCATTTGGTGAAATGGGACCAGGTTTGTATGCCATCAAAGTTGGAGGGTTTGGGTATCATAAAGCAAAACTTGTAAACTGTGCGTTTCTTTCCAAATTGTGGTGGAGAATCTTTCAAGACTCTTCTCAACTCTGGAAGGATGTGCTAATTGTTAAATATGGTTTCAATCATCGAACCCACTTGATTAAAAAAGGTAGAGGAGGCAAATCACCTCACAGATTTGGAAGGATATTTATAGCTGTAGAAATATTGTTTTCAGCAACATCAGATGACTTATTGGCAATGAAGATAACACTCTATTTGGTTCAACAAATGGTTGGGTGATGCACCTCTCTCTTCTACTTATCCTGACCTCTTTGCCAGAGTTGGTCATCCTGATGCAAAACTTTCAGAGTTGATTTCTCTTTCCCCCTCTAATTGTATGATCTAGAACATTGGAGGCTGCTACAATAGGCTACCGGACATGGTTATTTCGCAGCTTCATAATCTCCTTCAACAGCTTGAACAAGTTTACATCTCTTCTAATGCCGAAGATTGGTCATATCGGAATCAGAAACTGATGGAGTTTTTTCTGTCAAATCAGTGTATAGACTCCTTTTTATCAATCGGATCCGTATTGATGATACATCTTTGGATTGGCCAATTCCAGTTAAAGTCCAAGCCTTCCTATGGGTCGCATGTCAAAAGAAATGTTTAACAGTAGACAATCTGCAAAAGAGAGGTAAAATTCTTCCAAACATTTGCTTGATATGTAAAAATGATGAAGAATCTTGCTCTCACCTCTTCCGTCACTGTTCTTTTGTGGCTCTGGGCCTTATCCTTATTAGGTTTTTTCCTCATGATACCTTTGAATCCCATCAACATTATTAACAATCTTTATGTCATTGGATTACCAAAAAAAAGGAGTTGTGATTTGAAAAATTTTCAGTAGTGCAATCTTATGGCAGATTTGGTTAGAACGTAATAGGAGAACCTTTGATGGGGTGTCTCAGAGTATTGAAAGGGTAAAATATCTCATTTTACAATCTCTTTGGAATTGGTTTTCCTCCACGCCTGAAGGACGGGGTGCTCTTCGGACTAATATTTATATGAATCTTAAATTTTTGGCTCATTCCTCTTCTCACTCTAGCTGTCCCTTTCGAACTTGGACTGCACCTCTAGAAGCTTGCTTCAAACATAATTTTGATGACAACTCATTTGGAAATCCAGGGCCTGCAGATGTTGGTGGGCTCCTTCGTAAGCAACAATTTGGGATTGGTTCTTTTTTCTTATTCGGGTCCTTATGGGTTTACAACAGTCAATCATGCCGAATTGGCTGTTCTCCTTCAAGGCCTTCATATTATCATCGACAGTTTCATTGGTGATATTATAATTGAAGGGGATTCCTTGAATGTTATCAAGTGGTGTAGAGCAAATGATCCCCTGGTCTCTATTTACTCTTTGGTTAAAAATTCAAGACCTATGTGCCTGACCTAATTTGAGGATAAGCTTTGGCCACACCATGCGTAAAGCAAATGATGTTGTTGACGGGCTAGCTAAACAAGGTCTTCCTCTTCTCTTTTTGCAAGTTTCTAACGATTTGATCCAATCTTTATAATCTCACCCTCTTGAAGCATTGCTTTAATATAAGTTCATAACATTTGTCAAAAAAGGTTTACGGCCTAGTGCAAACTACACCAATTATACGGTAGCGTAATAAACATTTTAACGGGATTTAAACATTGGAAAAGTACCAAATTGTTCTCCACTCCATAATGTATGAAATGTTATTTATTTAAAAATACTAAAATAGTGTTTTTGGGTCCCGATCGAGGGAAAGACTTGGCCTTGGCCCTAGCCGAGTACTTGGAAGAGGTCAAGTGGACTCACCAAGCAGTTGATCATTCCAAAAAAAAAAAACACAAAAAAAATGAAGAAGAGCTTGGGACTTCTGGCCACATCTCTCTCTTTCTCACATATCTCTAACTCTCTTTCTCTTACAGGTCTCTTTCTTTGTCTATCACATATATCTCTATCCATCTCACATATCTCTCTCCTATTTCTCTATTCTCTTCTCTCTCACAAATCTCTCACACTCTCAGGCATCTATCACTTATGCTCCCTTTCAGAGAGAGAAGTGAGAAAAAGAGGGAAATAAGCGATTCAAGGAGAAAGGCAGAGGAAAGAGAGACAAGGAAGGGAAGAGAGAGAGAGAGTGAGAAAGAGAGAGGGGAAGGGGAAGGGAGAGAAGGAAACCACTTTTTTTTTTTTTAGAGAGAGTAATTGTTTATCCGAGTAGTAAGAGTGCCCTGGGTTGAGAGACATCAAAGGGGGTGGTGCCTCCGATTTGAGAGAGAGAGAGAGAGAGAGAAGGGGAAATAATGGGGATTCTTCTCCTTTGTTCCGAGAACAGAAATACCAAGGTCCTTGCACGTACTTGCCTCGGCACAAGGCCGAGGGTAAGTAACTCGGCAACTCAATGTTTTAAAATAAGGTCAGCCGTCAAAATACATCTAATATTTGAACTATTTAAAATTTTATTTTAGGTGTATTTTGATAAATTTCAAAAACCCATTTTGACAAGTCAATTGATTGTCTAGTTCAAATTTGATCAAAAGAAGATGAACAGTTTGAAAAAAAGAATGAACAGTATGGGTAAGATAATTAATAGTTCGAATCATATGTATATTTTGATAAAAATCCCTCAATAATATGCAAAACAAACTATATGGAAAAGCATACAATAAGATCATTTACCATTGATAATCTCATGGTCTTTATGTTATGGTACTGGCATTGTGGCCAGTGTCATCAAAATTAGATTAGAAATCAAACTGGTGAGAGATAAAGTCTAGTTAAACCCGATTGCCAGTCTTATTTTTTTTATAAATTTGTTGTACCAAATATTAATAAATAAAAAATAAGAGTAAAATAACGAAAAATAAGAGTAATAGTCTGAAAAATATGAAGGAAAATTGTTTCATGTGGGCTGGACCGCATTTCTCAGAAGTATAAAGCATCCATCTTAAAGATGGATGCATGTAGGTGGTCCATCTAAAAAACAATGGACAGTAACGGTCCAAATGCCTTTTTTAAAAAATTATTATTTTAAAATTTTAAAATTTATTTATTATTTCAAATTCATTATCTTCATGTTAAAGATTACATATCCTTAAAAATTAAGTAAAAAATCCATCTAAAAATTAGATTTTTAAGAGGTGCCTCATCTCTACATGTGCAGGCTTGGCCCGCATGCTAACTGCATCCAAATATGAAACATACTTAAAAAAAAATATCCAACTTTTGTTTAGCTAATCTAACTTGGTAAAACCAACAAGTATAGTTCAATAAAACTAGTCAAAGATTGATTCTGATTAATCTTCCATCAAACTTCTCTTTTTTGATTAGGACATCACAAATCCCTAATGGACACTACGACCAATCCAGTGTCCAATCCGGTCCGTTCTTCATAACTGCAGCCCCAGCCACATGGGGCTATGACAGCGGCAAAAGCCTAAAAATTATGTATTCTTAGCAACAACCATGAACAGTGGGGTGGGTCGGAGGTGGACGGCAGTGTAGGGTAGGCGCCACGCTCCTTCCCCACCCATCCAGCTTATTAATGAGAGCGTTGCGTGCAATGAAGACCATGTTGATGATTTTAGAAGAGAGAGAGTTTGATATAACAGTGCAGAAAGAGAGAATTTGATACAGCAGTGCACAGTGAGAGAGAGAGCAGTGCAGAGAGAGAATTAGATATAGCAGTGTTCAGTGAGAGAGAGAGAGAGAGCAGTGCAGAGAGCGCGATTGATATAGCAGTGCCTCTTATTTATTAGACAATGACTAATGTAATAAATAAAGTGTGTGAAGCATGCGCCATTATTTGTGCATTTAATAGTCGGTGATGCATTTGTCTGGAAATATGGTGAACAGAATTTGGACAGATGGTAGTTGAGTTCAACGACTATATCATTTACTTCTTCATTTCCAGTAACCCATACTCTCTAATCAATTTCATCAACTCATACCTCTCCGTCTCCTGTTCATGGCCAACTGTTACCTACTCATACCCATATATATTTCAATATAAATGAAGATGGGTGATGAAACAGCAGAATGGAACAGAAACAGATGCTATCAAGCACTTACTATAACTAAAGACCAGGCTTTCTCTGAGAGAGAGAGTGAGAGAGAGAGAGATTTAATGATGGTAGAGAGGAGAAGAGTTTTGGTAGTGATGGTGGGTTGGCTTGGGTGCAATCAGTGGCAGTTGAGGAGGTACCGAGAGTGGTATGAGAGCAGGGGCGTTGGCGAAATCCTCACATTCCCGATCGCACTGCACCAATTCTTAGGGTGGGTGCTCGGCACTTCCTCGAATCTCAGTACTCGATTGGATTGCATCAGGCATGCCCTACAACATCGACTCGACACTCATGAGCACACCTGCATCATCTTCCATCTCTTCTGTCTAGGCTCCCTCATGTAAGTGTGTGTTTATTATGAACGTACATATAATATATGTATTATCATTATCTCATCCAAACTTTTTTCTAACTAATTGGGGTCGGGGCTGGCCATATGAATCTACATATAACATATGCCACTTTAGTAATGTGCATGGTCTTTCTAACTAATTGGGGTCGGGGCTGGCCATATGAATCTACATATAACATATGCCACTTTAGTAATGTGCATGGTCCACAAGGAACCATCAGTCATCCACTGTACATTACAAATAATGGACGGTGGAGATTCAACGTACACAGGTCATCAACTAACTGTGTTTAATCTTCGCCATCTATTATTTGGAATGAATGGTGGTGGATGTTGGCTAAGTATAGCACAAGCCATTCCCCATTAATGGTGTATACTACAATCTCTTCTCCTTTCAGTAACTTGGTCAAGTTTGTCAACTAGAAGGCAGTAGCTGTTTTGAACTTTATTTTGGGCAGGTATGGTCAGATAGTTCAAGGACTGTCTGAGAAACAAAGGGTTAGGATCAAAGGCTGTGTGATTGACTCTGGACCCATAACTTCATTGGATACAAAGGTTCTCTCTCTTTCTTTCTCTCTCTCTCTCAACGCACGCACCAAAAACATCCATTCTAACATCAGAGGTTTTAATTTTTAAACAGGTTGCAGCCAGGGGAATCACTGGTGCAGTTTTCTTCAAGGGTGAGAGTTTGTCAGATGAGTCCATTGGGGGGATGGAAGTGCCCTTTGAAGCCTTCTTGGAGAAAATCATGGCGGTTTTCCTGGATGTATTCCAGCTTCGAAGGTACAGTCATCTCTCTCCCACTCTCTCCATGCACGCATGCGCGTGTATGTGTGTGTCAATTACAATGCCGCTACAAACATTAACACTGGTTTTTGAAATCAGAAAGATAGAGGCAGCTATGGAGAATCTGAAACAAATAGAATTGAAATGCCCGTTGCTCTATCTCTACAGCTCAGCTGACAGAGTTGTAAGCAAAGACACTGTGGAGAGCGCCATTGAAGAGGAGATAAGGAAAGGGCGAATTGTGAGGCACTGTGATTTTAAATACACTCGACATTTGGGTCACTTTTTAGGCCGTCCCGGATTATATAGTGCTCACCTGGAGAGCTTTCTCGCAGAGAGTCTCTCAAAGACTGCAAACGATCATGGAGATATTCTTTTCCAATGTCATCAAAAACGAATTTGTAATTAATTTCTGATAATTACTCTTTTTATTGTGAAGAAAATGCCTTCTGCCTTGATTGTTTCACTATATTGAATTGTGGGTATCAAAGCCAGGTATGGTTTGGATTGTGGATATCAAGCTTTGAGATATTACATATCCTATTTCTGAAAAATCGAATCCATCAATGTCTCATTGATGAAGTTCGAGAGTTAAAGGTGATCCACGAATTATAAGAAAAACCTCAACCATTAGAGTCAAATCATTACACAGAATTATGAACATTAGATTCTATGATTTCAGAATTACCCATTTATTTGTGATTACAGTGAATACGATTAAAGTGAATAAAAACATTCTAGGGGAGTTTCTGTTATCTCACTCAGGAAGAACTTTCGATGATTATAACTGATGCATGCCCAGTTGCAGAAAGCCAAAAGTATTCAGCAGTAAATTGCAATTGGCAAAGGCAGCAACTGGGGTAATTTTCAGATCAAGAATCACCAATATTTTAGTCTAAGAGGATTGTCATTCGTTTTCCGCTAAGCATCTCTTCGCTTGCAAAGAATTCACCTTGAAACTACACATAAGCCAAAGAATTATCTGTGTGGGAGAAAAGATAAGTTTTTTTTTTTGGGTAAGTCAGGAGAAAAGATAAGTTATAGAGTAATTGGCATTTATGTCGAAAATGATAATAAAACGTGTACTGAAAATTAGTGGACTTCATTTTTGAGTTTCCATTTTAACAAATGCAGAGTCCAGTCCATTGAGTTTTACTCCATAGAAATGGTCATTCAAGCCTCCATTTCATATACTCAAGCATATTTACAGGCTTTCAATCGCGGGTTTAAGAGCACACGACTTGAGCTGATAGGTATGAATGTATAATATGCAAAAACTACACTAAAGAGTATGAGGCACATCATCATCATCCGAGCCTTATCTCAACTATTTGGGGTTGGCTGTATAAATCTTGTTTCGCCATTTCGCTCAAAAATATGAGGCACATAATTAAATGAAATTGTTAACTTCCCCAGCAAATTTAACCGTTGATCATAAATAAAAGGCTTCGACAGAACATGATCGATCAAGTTGGTCCAGAAGACAACTTATTTAATAGTGAATTATGACATTGGTTTGGCAATATTATTATAGGTTCAACAATTTTCAGCAAAAGGGTGGTTGAACATCAGTACATTCAACATTCCAATATTCTAAGCTAGGTAAGCTTGTTCTTGAGTTGACAGTGGATGGGAGTGTGCTCTAGATTGATCCATATGGAAATAAACAGACAAGGCGGAAGAATTAAAAACCTAGCCATTTGCTATTTAACTCTAATATCAACATATACATAAGCAATGAGCACAATCAACGTAATGGAATGTGTAACTTCGTCTTCATTAAGGTACAGGAGAAACTAGAATTTTCACATGTTGTGAATATTGAATCATTACATGTAAATCATTCAAAACCGACTAATCATTATTATCATCAAAGCTTTATCCCAATGATTGGGGATCGGATGTATGAATCATTTTCCTCCGTTCTTCACTATCAAGGGTCATATCCTCAGTACGACCAAAAGTTACTATATCGTTTCTCACTACTTTTATACGTATCCTTTTTGGAGAACCAATTCACACCTCCTAATCATTGTTGTATTAGGTCTATGTTGTACATGGCCTGAGTCCACTTTCCCTTATCTTATTGCCTATTGAAGTCATACATGTGTTCCCTTGTACGTATTCATTTTGAATTTTATCATTTATTGTCTTGCCACTCATCCATCTTAACATCATATCTCAGCTACGCTTATCCTATGGATATATTGTTTATTGACCAGCTAACATTATGTTCCACAAAAGCATGACTGATCTTATAGCCATCCTGTAGAACTTCCTCTTCAGTCTCAATGGTATGTGGTGATCACATAATACTCTAAATACATATCTCCACTTTGCCACCTAGCTCTAATTCTATATGCGATATCTTCCTCAATCTCTCCATTCTCTTGGTCAATCGAACCTGATATCAGAAATGAACGAAGGACTATGTGATAAAGCATGATGTATATATTTAAAAAAAATTCTAATTCTTATACTGGCAAGATCACTTACAATGTCCAATTACAAATAAATCACTCTTAAAATAAATAAATAAACAAAAAAAGGTTCTCACTTGCTACCACTTAAATACAACTCTTTATTCAATAAAAAAAAACTAGACACATTGTTGTTTATGGTATTTTTTTACAGTTGCATCCCCGTTGCGAATATGGAGGAAGCCAATTGCGACCTAGGCTCGCGGGTACAAAAATGCCTGCTGACCATGGAAGTATTATTGAAATAAACCCTGATCTGGAGCGAATTTTTGAAAGGTGATGGATGGGTCCCAAAAATCATTTAGAAGTAGCACTTGGCTCCTTAAGAACATCCACCAAGTTTCGTCACAATCCGATGACTTTAAGGTGGATCAGAGACAAAACTAGTTTTCGGATTCAGCCTCTAACATGCTAAAAATGTACCTTATAACTACATCCATATCAACACAGCTTCAGATGAACACAAAAGTACTTCTATTGGATTCAAAAAGTCCGAAAGCCCCCTAATATCATATTTCATCTCATTTGGACACTTTTGGACTATTTTGTGGCCAACTTACCTAAAAAAGATAGGTTACACACTATTCTAGTGCATCCTCGATGAACTAGTTTCCATTTATAGAAACTGTCTAACAGGATTTCGGGATCACCTCTAAAAGGCCATAACTTCTTCATCTTAATTCGGATCAAGCTCAATTTTCAAGAGGATCTTCATCTCGTCGGCGCGCACGTTTTGATATATGGCACAATCCATGGCGCGACCCAAAAAGGAAGAAATATTAGAGAGAAGTTGCTTAAAAAAACTCATGTGTTGCAGATTTTTGCAAAGAGGAGATCCCTTCAATCAAACGGTTATATCATGAAGTCCCCTCCGATCGACTTGAAAACAAGTCCGTTGCGCCCGTGACATCCAGGGCTTCGATCCAAATTAAACATCATACATGATAAATGAACCAAAAGACTTTATTTTGAGGTTGTAAGAAAGGGTATTTTCCAGCAATCGGAATCCATATTCCGGCAACTTCCCCAATTCGGAAAGTAGTGGCCCGGTCACCAAATTGAGTCATTCTTGTCACCAAAAGATTGTGACAACTTCCCATTAGTTCCATGATAGAAAGATCGAACTAAAATGTCAAGGAATGGACAAGATCTAAGATCTACGATCTCAAATTTGCCATCTGTTGATGGATTTTGCCAAGAGCTCAAAACTTCCATTGGAGAATCAAAAGATATGTCAAAACGATCATCTCGTCGAGACCGTCACTTTCGTGGTATTCTCTTTGCCGTATGGTTGCAGGAAAGTTCCGAAAATGGGCCCCAGATGACCACCATAGCCTATGGCCCCTTTTCGAGGATCATCTTTCCATTTTCGAGATTGTGGGTAAGGGAAAAATGACGGTCATTTTGCCCCAAAAACGCAATTCAAATTTAAATCATAAAAATGTATTTTTCGACAATTTAGATTAGTTTTGAGCTTTGTTTCAAAGGGGTGCTATATAATCATTTGTAACCCTAAGTTCAAGTAGATGAATGAAAGGCTAATGAGACCATAAGTTCATAAAACCAAAAATTAGTGCAATAACTTGGTTTTTCCTTGGTTTGCCATATTTTTGTCTCTACCCCATTCACCTAGAGAGATGAGAGAGAAACTTTTCCCACAAGCCACTACTCCTAGAATCTCTCACTCCCCACTTGGAACCCTTCACTTTTCATTTGGAGCTCTTCACTTCCAACCTAGCCGCCGGTCCGGTTCAAGGACCTCACTGGGTAACCCCCTCACCCTTTCTCTCTCCTCTCCTCTTCTCCTCTCTCTTCCTCACCCTTTCCCTCTCTTCCCCCTCTCTCTCTCTTTCTCTATCTCCTCTCTCTCATTCTCTCTCTCTCTCTCTCTTCTCTCTCTCTCTCTCCCTCAACCCAATTGGGTTGGTGGCTAAGCCACCGACCCGGTTCTCTCTTCTCCTTCTCTCTTTCTCTCTCTCTCTGTCTC